GGAAAATAAATAAACGAGATATGCTTGTGAAAGTAAATGTTAAGTTAACCAAATTCTCTTTTATGTTTTCTCCATTTAACCTATTTTCATTTCTTACAAATAAATATCAAATATCTTACTCATCTTACAGTATAATTTCATTAAAAATTCAATCCTTCTATTATAATTATAATAATATGCAAATTCTTTTAAAAACAAAAGTTTAACACAAGAATAATTGATGAATATAATTGAAAAAATTTAATTTCTTCTTTTTCTTCTTAGTCATACTAATAATACTATTTATTGCAATGCAAAAGTTAATAATATTATACGGAACATTTTATTTTACCTGGGTTGCAGTCTGTTAGAAGTGAACAAATGGACAGTAAAACCTTAGAAATAGTGAGTGCAGGCGACCAATTGTCTTTTAGTATGTCCAAACAAATGACGCCTTGACTGTTTATATTACAATGATAGATACGCGTTCGGAATGTGACCTAAAACCATTATATTAAAACTGAATTATTATACTATTATTTATTACATAAAAGAACGATTTTTTAAAGAAACAAATGAACTACTAAAATATATGTATATAACACAAAAAATATAAAAATATAAAAAGAGTTTAACATTATACAGGATGATTAAAAGAATGCATTTATAGCTTCTAGGGTTGATAGGATTCATTAAATGAAATAAAAAGGTTTTAATGAACATAAGTCGAAAACTTAATATTTTTCTTTAAAAACTTATAAACAAATTTTTGTTTCAATCAAAACGACTGATTCTTTCGTTTTGAGAATTATCGCATTGCATATAAACAATGGATTACTCGGCTTTTCCTTCTATGCAAGTATAATACAGGATTACCATAATTATAATATTATAACTAGAAAAAAAAGAAATGATCAGGTAATTTATCAATTCCATATGATGCAATAATTAAAAATCAATTGTTTTAACCGGAACAAACAATTATTTATAAACATTTAGTTTCTGACCTACCTTTATAAAAACTTTTGCAGTAATTAACGAGTACTATCTACCCTAGAAGTTATGAATACTTCTTTTTTTGTCATTCTGCATATATCTACATAAAATTTCTAAAATACTGAATAATATTAAAAAATTGTAAACACGGCTTCAAAAAATTTAGTTTTTAGTAAATTATAACAAATGAATGACTAAATCTTAAACTAGTAATCTTTTTTTTCAAATAATTTAATTTAAACGATCGATTTAGCAGACATAATTATTTTAAAGTAAAATGTTAAAAATAATATGATCTAAAGTGTTATACTTGAGAAAGAGTATAACATAAATATAATAAAGTTTCTTAATAATTTTACTAGAAAAAGAATCATGTTACCGCTTAGATCTGTTGGATCTAAGAAAACCATTCTTATTCGGAGATAAATTGTTTATTCAGAGAAAAAATAAAGTGTGACAACGGATTAAAGCTGTTTCATCTATCATGAATATCTACTTAACGCGTTAATTGCCACGCCGGTCCTTGGGGACCGGCACTAGACTTTCTATTCACGCCAAGTCGGGCCGTATGGACCGACAGGTGACTTTTGCTTTATACGCTGCCGCGCCGGTCTGAATCTTAACTAAAAGTATTAATTATGGTAGTAAGTAGAAAATATATTTTATTAGAAATTAATGTAATTTATTGAAACAATTTAAATAAAGACGCCACGTTCGTGCCGACTACCAACAATCTAAAAATGCACAGGGGCAAGGGGACTCTTCCTCTCACGATGCTTGGGCTGCCTTGTTTTCAGCACATTGCTGTTGGCGCGAACGGAAAGTCACTTAACGTGGCAGTTAACGTGATAAACAATAAAAATTGATTATTGTATGTACCATTTTCTTTGACTTTTTTCAGTTTTGTCTCTACGTATTACACTATATTTTAAAGCTATAAAAGATGTTTCGTTTGTTTCTAGAAATAAGTACATTCACTTTGAAATCGTTCATAAGAAATATTTCCATCACTGTTCGTAACATAATCATTGATATAATTATTATTAACTAAATTAAGGAAAGACTAAAATTCACAGCTTCAAAAGATATAGAGTATTCTTCATAATTCTTGATAGAGTTGAAATGTATTCAAAAACGGAAGCAAAAATTTAGAAAATGCAAACTGCTACATATGTTTTACACTATTTATTGTACGTTTCTTATATGATAATCTCTTAAGTGAATTAAATCAATTCATCTTGTATTATAAAATCTATAGATATTTGTAAGAGCCAAAATGTGGACAAATTTAAAGGTGAATGGCATGGCATTGTTTCAAATTATCAATAAACGGATCACCGATCGGTACGCTAAGAACAATAAACAATCAATCGATATATGACATACATTATACACGTAACATCGTAATAAAATCTTACACAAAGTAAGAAAATCTTACACACTTAACTAATTCAAGTTTCTATATCCAAATTTTTATTGTTCCAGCATATCTCTTAAAACTTAACATGATTCTTTTGCTTCTCTTTAAATTAAACATGTTTCTTTCTTTTATTATAACAACAATAACATATAATATTATGGAATATAATGTAAACAACAGACCTATGTTACCAAAATCATTTTTAATTAAATTAAATTAGAAAAGTTGACATCTACTACAAAAATATTACTACAATACCTTTGGTGGTTTGAAAGGATATTCCGGGGAAAAATGTATGTCCAAGAAGAATACTCCTCCTTCGTAAACTGAACCAGGAGGCCCAAGTATAGTTGACACCCATTCATATAAATTATCTCCTTTAGGTCCTGCACTGTAAAACACAGAAGAGAACCATTTAATACTTAGTCATAAAATAAATAAAACATATATATTTCTTAACAATTAAAAAACTCCCAAAAGAAAATAATAAGAATTAAAAGAAAAACATTTGCTAAGCATAAAGGATGTAGTAAATCTTTTACTTTTTCACATGAATAAATTCATTGTATAAAAAGCATCTTAAGTGAAGAGAAACTTCTAGTCACTTTAACAATGCTATTGTAAGAAAATAACGCAATGTATATAAGCAAAATTGATTAGATCAAATAAATATATTACTTGTATACCTGGTACTAATAATTTAAAGAAAAATAACTCTGCAAATACCTTTGCTATTACGTTTATCAATACAAATCAAGTTATAGTATTTTCAATACTTTTTTATAGTATTACTTAAAATTTGTCATATGACGAAAAACACCTAAAATTATAAATCTAATCATTACAATTAGCACATCTGTCAATTCTTGATTCTCTGATGGATTGATTCTTCTTATAAATCCTTTAATTATAAATTAATATTTTAGGACTTTACTCATTAATTATGATAATACTAATATGAATACTAAGTTGTTTAAAGGGTACAAACCTGCAATTTGGAGGTGGGTCTAATGTAATTTCCGCCAACTCTTTCTGTATCCTGCAACAACAAAATTAATAATACGATGGCAAGTTTTCACAGCAAATACTTTTCAATGTTCTATTACAATTACGATACCTTTTGGCAGATGTTCCTAAAGCTTTCGACATCTTTGGATTTGGTTTTGCTTCCTTACTTTCTGGTTTATTGTCCGCTAGTGATGAACCACGCCCTCTACCAGTTCCACTTGAACCTGCACCCGATGACATGGCTCTAAAATTATTTACATTATATTACATACAAGGTGGTTTATAAAACAAAAATAAGAATTTAATTTGTGACGAGTAACATTGTAACTGTCTTCGAAATAATCAAATAATAAATTAATAAGTACAATAGAAAACATTGAATATACTTTGTGCCCCAAGCTACGGACGTCGAGATCTTCTTATGGTGGTGCACAAGTGCTTCTTCAAATAACAGTTGTATATTCCCAATAAGGATCACTAAATGAATATTTCTTTCACCTAAAATCAAAATATAAAATATAATGTATGAAAGTGTTGAAACTGTATTTTTAATGTCATGTTTATTACTTGTTAATACACATTTCTTATCTTTAGCATGGAACACATCACTTAAAAAATTAGTGTCTAATGAAAACAATAATATTACACATGAAATGATAGTCATTTATTTTTTTTATTCGTAAAGGTATTCAAAATATTTCAATATTAATCAGTTCATAACATTACACAAACGTAAATATGTAATAAGGTTATATTTTTCTAATACAAGTTTTTATTAACCTAAACGAATTAAATTGTTGATGCCAACGGATAAAATAACATGTATTCGTATAAAATGAAATCAACTAAAGTACCACGAACGTATATAAATTATTTCCACTCTTAAAAATAAAAAGAAATTAATAAATTTTATAAGAAGAGATATCCACTGAAAAAATCTGAACGATAAAAAATATAAATTAAAAACAATATCAAAACAGTATAAATTAAAAAGTATTCGCACCTGCGTTGATGTTATTAAAACATCAAAACACAGCTCAAACGAAAGTATGTGAAATAATAGTAGAATATCAAAATCTATAAAAATGTACTGACTTTGTAAAAGAACAAGATGAAAACTATTAACAAAAGTTATTAATCGATCTCAATTGTACATTACTTAAAACATATTATCTCTACTAAATGAGAGGATTCAGTGATTGACGATTAACAACAATATCTGTTTTAAAAAGACTATTATAGAACCATATACGATCAAGAGGAAGAGGTGTGTTACCTCGTTGATAGAAAGGGTAGCTTCCCAATCGTTTCAGGATCAACTTTATAATCGAAGATTGATCCTATGTAAATTCTGCGTAAACCAGCCGGTTCCGGTTTGTGCGTACTCCTAGACGCAAGTGTGCTTCTCAGGTGCTGCTCTGCAGGCTGGCGGGCTTCATCGTCGCTCTCATGTCCCAAAGTCACGATCGCGGCGTCCCTTTTCCCTCGGCGAGCGCCGAAACGTGCGCATCTCTGCGTCGCCGGATGTTGACTCTGTCGCCGCTGCGGCGGACGTTGGTAGCCAACATTCCTAGATGGCTGCACTATCGACTTCGGTATTTAGGAATATGCAATACCAATCGTTCTTCAGAAATCTCCTAGATCAATTTTTGTTTTCTTTTTTCTTTTGTTGTTATATTCAAATAAGAAGCGAACCCGTTTCAGACAACACTAGCGATTTAGTTCCTAACAGATGAAAGTTATTATTGGTCCATTTTGATTTGGAAAGAAATACAGCACTGTTCTTATTAGGTTGCTTACCAGCCAATCAAATACAAAGCGGCAGTGCAACCGTTTCGTTCAAAAACACTAAAGTTTATTTCAGCGTTGAATACCGATGACATAATTTTATTTGAATAATAAATAACGGATGTAATCAGAGAAAGTAAGAATAATTGCTTGATTATATGCCTTCTTCCTAAAATGAAACATTATTTTATTTTATAACTAACACTTTTATGTTTATTGTATGATCAAGAAAAAATACATTTTTTGATTCGTCATTTGATATGTGAAATAATTTAAGTAAATAATAAATTAACATTTTTTTCTTATTAAATATTATATAAATGTACAAGAGAACGAATTGTACTGTGTCGTGAAAATATAAAATGACTACACCGAAAACAGAAATCTAAAGTTCTCATTTAAGGAATTTGAAAACATTTAAATTTTTGCATTATTATCTTAAAGGAAAAAGAATCATAGATATATATTTAGTGTTTAGTTGTTAATATGATTGTTTTCTATTACTAATGAAATATTTCTTATGGTAATTGACTCATGAAACTGTTTATTTTCCGAAATATTGTGGTGTTTCATATTAAGTGTGTCCATATTAGGCGCCATTACTCTATCTCAAGATTCAATCGTCCGATTGATTTGAAATTTAGAAACGTTTTCTGTGACTATAGTCGGTACCAAAATCCATGAGGAATTTTAAATTTTATAATTTTTTATTATGCTAAAAGCAGAAAACAGCATAAAAGATCAAAACTTGGACTTTAAACTGTTGCCATTTTTTTAAACAATGAGATATTTTAATTGTTTGGTAGCAGCAACAACTACATTCATATTGAAAACAATTAAACCTCGTTTGTTTTGTTTTAGTTCACTACAACGGCTGGAATTATATCAAGCATCGTAACATGATTTTTTGAAATGACTTTCTTTAATGACGCGTAATGCATATAATTTTATGTACTTAAACTTGAAAATATACAAATTTCGCATGCCATTAAATAAATTTATCATATTATCTGCAACAAATGTGTGGAAAAAATTGTATAGTTTCATTACGAAAATAACATCGATGACCTTGATATTGTGTAAGAAACAACTTGAGAAAAAAATATTTTTTTTGTTAATACATGCACGTCATTATAGAATATTCTGTAGCAAACACGATTACATCACGAGAATTTCATTTGAATGATAAGACGCAGCATTATGTTATCGTAATATAGAACATTTTAATTCGATAATGAAAATCATCAATATATCAAAATATAAAATGAATTTTTATTTATTGTATTTATACCGAGTATGTACTTGTTTATGATAAATTACTTTATTGTAATGTTCAATATACAAAAAGTTAAAATTTTGTAAATCCTTTCTTCACACAAAATGTGTACTTACATTGTTTTCAAATTCACGTGAAAAATGAAGAGTTCAAGATTGATTAGCTATGTGGATTTTTATCGTACAATTATATATAGTTGAAGTGATAATGTAGAAATATAAAACAAATTTCATTCTGTTTGCCTCACATTTCATTACTGGAACGAAGAAATAGCGCAGTGTTGTACGTTAACGAATAATTCAAGATAATTTATTGTAACTATTTAAAAATGCTAGATACAAGATGGGCCATCATTTTCCTATTCTCTTACGTTTGCATTGCACGTAAGTTAAAATATATTTATTAATTATTGTATTAAAATGTTAATAGCAGATGTGATTATCTTCCAGTTTGGTATTACACTTAGGAATTAAATAAAAATACATACCAGCATTAAATAAGAGAAGTAACTGACTTTAAAGCCTTTAAAAATATAGCTATTAACCATATTTTATAAGTAGTCAGTTGTATTTATCTTCTTGAAATAAATATTTATATATTTATTTATTATTGAAACTAACTGAAGGAACATGTAAACACTTTGTATGAGATATGATAGAATGTAAATTTTGTTTCCAAAAGGAAAGGGGAAAAAAAATGTTTATAATTGATAATATATTTATAATAAACTGTTTAATGTGATATTTATATGAAGAAAAGGTAAAATTACTTTTTCATTTCATAGAGGGGGATGAAGAGTGTCCCACAATCATTAAACGAAACCAATGGAGTACTAAAGAAGCGAAGAGTGTAAATTATTTAATTCTTCCTATTCCTTATGTTATAATTCATCATACAGTTACTCCTGAATGTTCTTCAAAAATGCAATGTAATACTAGGGTTGAAAACATTCGTTATCATCATATGGACACTTTGGGTTGGCATGATATAGGATTTTCGTAAGTATCTTTATTTATATACATATATATATCTTATGAGATATCTTATACAAGGATGTCGTAATCTATTTATGTATTTAATAATTCATGTCTGGTGAAAGAAATTTAACAAGAAACTTTAGCATGTATATAAAAGCTTACTTTAATTTTATATTTTATTGATAGATTCTTAATTGGGGGTGATGGAAACATATATGAAGGTTGTGGCTGGAATCGTGAAGGAGCTCATGCAATTGGGTACAATAAAAAATCTGTTGGAATTGCTTTCATAGGAAATTTTCAAGGTAATATATAATGCATCTTATCTTTTTATTTAACATATTATATTATGTGGTAACTCTATAAGCAATCTTACATATATATACAGGGCAACCCATTTAAATAGACTCACTTGAATATCTTTGAAACTATTGCTAAACATTATAAATAAATCTTGATAGTATTTGAAAAAATAAAAATTAATATACTATCAGATTGGTTGATAAATACAAATAATAAATAATGCACACTTTCTTCAATTACTTGTTGATTACTATTACTGTATTTCATAATATCCTTTCAATTTTAGAAAAACTTGCAAGCGACAACATGATTAATGCTGCACATAAACTTATTGTTTGTGGAAAATCACAAGGAATACTTAGAGATGATGTTCGTGTAGTTGGTGCTAGACAAGTTACAAACACTGCAAGTCCAGGAATTGAACTGTATGGACAAATTCAAAACTGGCCTGAATGGGTTTCAAAACCTTAACTTGTCATTTATGTTTAGTCCATTTATGCATTTTTTAATAAAATAATTGAATATAAATTTGTAAAACATTTTTAATTAAAATACCTTTATACATTGAATTATACTATGAGTTAAGTTTATAAATAAATTAAGTTTTATTTCTGTACATATTACTTACCCCCGAAGAAGATATTTCTCTAAGTAAGTACTACCCCTTTATTTATTAAAATATTATGACCCTATCTTTTGTTTATCTACCTCTCATTTTTTTTCTTTCCCCTCACCTTAGACTTTTCACTTTTTTCTTTTTTACTTTTACTCTTGATTATTCGCTTTGTTTTTCATTATTCATTCCCTTTGCTTATAACTGTAATTTTCTGATATTTTATTTCGAAAATAATTACCTAAAATTTTCACCGATTTAATTCTTCATTATTACAAAGCATATAATTCATACTTAAAAATTGATTAAATAAGAAGAGCTTAAGTACAAAAGAAATAAAAAATAATTACAAACATTATATTCAATAAGAGATATGTATTAAAAAAATAAATATACATAGATAATTGTCATGTTGTAACATTGTATTTAAAATGTATTAAAATTATAAATGTATTTTTATTAAGTATACTATATCAATAATTATTACCTATTTGAATTTATTAATTACATATTTAATTTATATGCGTTTATGGGCCATTAATAGTGAAATAACATTACTGTGTAATAAATTTCAATGAGGAAAAATGTTCAGCCTTGAGACTCATCGTTCATTTTTCCCTCAAAGCGTCTTCTTACGTGCATTGTAACATATAGGGTGATTCACTTGTATGCCAAATAATGAAATTACCGAATTACAAATTACAGTCAGTGTACTTTCTCTTCTATTTTTAATATTGACAATCTAGTATTACATAACAATGTAATGTTTTTGTCTCCATTAATAAATAAATTTTTTTCAGGTGTTTATTGGAAAGACACGTTTTACAAAAACGTCATTGAAACCCACTTATAAAAAAATTTCTGAACTTTTTCGTTGTGAGGCACAATGAATAATTTATTTGGTTTTATGAATATTAAATGTGAAAATTTCAAGTCAGCTATTTTAGTGAAATATTTTGAAAGTATTCGTTCTTTTTATAGGAAACATAAACATTTGAAAATATGATATTCAAATTCAACTAAAGAAACATTAATGCTGTTTCTCTAATATCTAAACAGAAGTTAATTATCTCCGGTATCTCATTTCGCCAACCTTTCGTTTATCCTTTTTCGATTTGTCGAAATGGTGACGAGCATCTGAAGTTAGTAAAATTGTTGGGGGAATCGTAATATATTTTATGCAAAACCATCCATTGACAATTTTTATATCCTATCAAAAAAGAGCATCGATATACATATACTTATATACCTCGTCCCTTCAAAAAAACAAACGAGTTGTGCCTCAAGAGAGCTGGAATGTAACCAGCCTACCTTGAAAACTGGCGCGTATTCACTTATATATTGACCCTGAGTTAGTTTAAAACTAATTGGAAAAACTTTTTGTTTCAATTAAATTCGACGATTTTTTATTTCCCTCCCATATATTGAATCCTCTAAAAAGTAGACGTGGTCATTAGCCATCTTAATCAGGAAAAAAACATTTAAAAAATGCAACTAAGTAAAATTTCTTATTTTTTTATTATTTACTTGTATACTATGTATGATACTTTTCTTAGTGATATTTTTTATCATAAGCGTTACCAGAGCATAATTACGAATACTTATAAATACTTCGTCAAACTTGTCCCTTTAAGTACAATCGTGTTAATGTTAGCGCGACAAATTGTCTCGACCGGAAAGTAATTACATGACAGTTGCTCAATAGAATTAGAATATTTATTCAAACGTTCATAATGGAAACTACATTATTAACTAGTAATAAATGGAATAAATCGTAACAGCACTAAATTGAACATGATAATAATATTTTTCTCAGAAATATCTCTATAAATATAAACTTCGAATTGTTTCACAATTTTTTATCCACTTTAATCCACAATTATTATACAAAAATGTAAAATGATTCACTTATTAAGTTTATTATGATGTTGAACTTTTTATGCAAATAATTAATATTATAAGTAATAAATAATTAATTTCAAAATATACAGTTTGTAAATAAATAAAACAAATATTTTGTCGTGTTTCAGACGAAACACCCAGCATGCATAGTATGTATGATATACAAACGTGCATTGACTAGTAACAGTAATATTTGAAAGAAACGGTTAAACGCTTAAAATGTAATCAATATTATAGTCGTCATTTTGTTGACACTGTTACTTATTGAATTCCAATAAATAATTATAGTAATAATTGGAACAACGAGTTACATGTAAATAATGAGAAATCGTTGCAAAGAATAATAAGATTGTGCAACTTGAAAAATAGTTTAGCTATGCAGTTTCATCCAATTAATGAAGCTGCGGTTGTTTTTCAGATTATGATTGAGTTGAATAATATTTGAATATATTATAAATAGACTGATGAATAAAGTTGTTATTATCCCGAAATTGTAAAAGCAAAATGATGCTGTTCTTTTAATTTATTTGGAAACTCAGGCATGTTCCCAGCGTTTCCGTGCAACTCTTTGTGCTTCAAGACGGATATATAAACCCCGTCCTGACCGATCGCAACTCAGTTCTCAGAGTCAGAATGTTGCGACCGGTGCATTTGGTAAGTTAATAATTCACTGTGATTCCTCGACACACTCGCAGTCAAATACATGTCATACATTGACCACCGAATTCTTATATTCCCTTTTATAATGAAAAGTTAAACGATATTTATACGTATTATCACATAAAATTATAATGTTCCACGTTACTCTCAAGAGACGGATATTATAACTTTGTCTTGTATTTCTTGAACGACGTGAAAGAAAACATCGCATGTAATGAATATATTAAGAATACAGAAGACTTTCCTGTATTCGTTATGTAAGTAATTCCTAGAAGTAGCGTAAACGTAAAAAAATATAGACTGACCGTTGCTGATCATTGATTTTGACTCTGGTTTTAGTAGTCTTCTAGAGCTCTTCTTTCAAAGAATAGACTCTAACAATTAAAATAAGAAATAGGTATTTTTCAAAGTAATATATAAAAGTAAGTATATTTTCGGCCTCGTGCATTAGCGACAAATATGAAACTACCGTTTAGGTGGCATCTCTAAGTGCAAAGTAATGAACAAAGGAACAAATAATAAAAGAATAACTCTGTCTATAAATAAAATTTGTTTATCGCTTACATGTATGTAGCTATTATTATTCCATTATTCATAAATTGTCAATAATGTAAAAAAAAAATCATAGAATTTCAAAAGAACATAGGCTTTACGTAGCCACAAAAGACATCCTCCCTTTGATGGTTGCACAATCAACATCTACTTTATGTACTAAAGCTTTAATTACAACTTGGAAAATTGATCATACGAAACTAGTTTTTCAAAGAAACCATAAGCCGAAATTTTGTACTTATTCTTTAACTATTTTTATTCAATTACGCTGTATTTTCAAAAAGATACAAAATCGTGACTCCTTTATCTCGGTAAAGCGAAAGAAACTTACTTTACACAGAAAATTAATTACTTAATACAATTTGTATTACTCGCATAAGAAAAAATGATATTTTTGGGAATCTGTTAAAAATATGTTCAATTGGTTACTTCTAAAAAATATCATATAATTTTATTATATCGAATCTTTGTATAATTTCATTATACAACATTTATACATTTCAAATTCCAAATAGATATTATATATATGTGTATTATATAAAACGATAATGTAAACAATTTAAATAAATGAAATAACACGTGTCTTTTTACACTAAGGCTATCTTCCTCTTGATGGTGGTTTTGATGGTGGCTGCTGAAGATCAATTAGATCCTGCCCGTCAAGAAGTCGAGCCATCTCTGAACAATGCCAACGATTTAGAAGCTGACGCGTCTGCTTGGGGGTACGTTTTATTTAAATAATTAATGCGAATAGATAATAAAAATTCATGGAATCATCAATTTATTTATCATTTATTCATACTATTCATAATATATCAATTTCTATTTTTATAAAACACTATACAACAAAACAATAACAATTAAAAACTTATTTTACTAATAAATATGTATTAAGTTAGTGATAAAACTAAAACGTTAATAATCTTTATTAAAATAACTATTTCAATGTACTTGAAAATTTGTGGATCTAACAAATACTTCTAAGACTAATTAATTAGACATTATCACTTAAAATTTCAAATGAGTTTTATGAATTACTTTTAAAAAGAATTATGTGATAGACTATTCCTTGATTTGAGTTTTATTAAACGCTTTTTCTATTATATTATTTTATCTATCTATTCTTTATTTCAGCAAAAAAAATGTTGCATTTTACTTTTGTACAATCCAGTGAAAAGAACGACGCATCATTTTGTAAACAGATTTAAAGTAAACACAAAAAAACTGGAATGGTCGAACTGTAAGATGATTACGTTGCACGATGATACATACTTTAAAAATAACGGTTGACCAAATATTTACCTCACTTGGTTAATTCATTGTTTCGAGACAAAGAACTTGTTAAAGTTTTAGAATTTTAAATCGAACCAGGCAATTAATTGCTAGTAAAAAATATAACAGATCGTAGAAGAGTCAGTAAAATAATATGTAATTCAATTTTAATTGAAACATTAATTTTTCATTCGTAATATTAGCTACCGGAAAAAGTTCGTGCGGTTTCATTCTTAGCAATGAATTTGTGGACTGAAAAGATATTTCAATTAATATTTAACTAGTTTAATAAATGAAATTGGTATTAGCAGCAAATTATGCTTATGCAACAAGTACCAAATAAAATAAAATAATTTTACAAAATCGTTCGCTGTGTTTAAATTTTGATTTAAGAAACCACACGAACTTTTTCCGGTACCTAATATGAGGTCACATCTGTAATTTCATTTTTTTCTTATATATTCCATTAAAATATTTTTTTATGCTAACTTACCAGCTCCAAGTTATATTTCATTGCTTACTTATGATATTTAATGATAAAAGACAAAACTATCATTACGCAAAGTACAACCGTTTATCAAGATAAAAAAGATTAACGAGAACTATCGAGCAGTCAGATTAACTATTTACACAAATTACAAAAATGCATTTATTGAGATTTCAATTTATTTATATTTATATTAGTGAATTCGTTTTGCGCGAATAAAAATCACATAAATAAGTAATACCTTATCTAGGTTTCTGCAAAAATTTTGAGAATTCGACATTCACTTGTTATGTTATTTTCATAAAACTACATAATTTTAGGATCAAAAAGTGGTAACGCAACACAATGGAAAATGTATTAATGTTGAAGGAGAATATTTTGAACAAAAAAATCCAATATAGGTCATTTTGATCTATTTAATAGTTCTAGTACTAAAATGCGTTACGTGTATGAAATCATATGTTTAATTTAGTATGAAAATTATTCATTTACTTGTTTATTATATTTTCTTTAACAATATTTCAAGGTATTCCAGACCATGGCGCTATGGTTGGAGAAGCGGCGGCTGGGGCGGATGGAGAGGAGGCGGATGGGGCTGGGGAGGAAAAGTATGGGCTGGAAGAGGTGGTTGGTGGTGAACTCAAGACAAGTTTATAAACTCTGTCATGAAAATTAACGAATTAGTAAACTTTTGTAATGCCCTGTATTTCTTAAATTTTTGTAATTTCATGTTTTACAATGATTGTTGAATAAATACACGATCATATATGACTGCAATAACTGAAAATGATTTTGTTTTTTCATTCCTTTATTTCGCACGCTTTCTTATAAGTAAATACAGTTTTCATTTTTCCATCTTTCCTGGCGTCGTCAGCTCAAAAACTGTAGCATACGGCGGGAAGATAGTTTGAACACAAAATTTCAAATCGATAAGATAATAAGAACCTCTCATCACATTTGAGTTAACATTTTTTATATAGAAAGTTTATAACATAAGATATTCAGAAGATATGTTCTGAAATTTACAAGATAATACTAGATTTTTCTGTATTGTTCAATCTTATTATAAACCTTAGAATGTAATGCTTCCCTTGCGTTATGCGCGATTATACGTAATAAATACCTGATGCTGGAAATTATAGTCATATAGACTATTATGAATGACAGTATTGAATCGAGCAATTTGTATATGATATAATAGATATAAATATAATAAATGTACATTAAACGAAAAACTATGTTTATTTTCACACCCATTACAGAATGAAAAAAAACATTATGGAAAATGATGCATATGAGTTCCAAAAATAGAGGTTTAGCGTTTTAATATGAGTCTAGACTATTTGCTGTACATCTTTTTTTAATAAACTTATGCCACTTTGAACTTGAACAGTATTTCTTACTTTGGTCACTAATGTATTAAATCAAATATGTTGTTTATCCTCAAATCTGAGAATTGCTTTCGTCCCTTTCAACAAGAATAATGACTAACAAACAAAGATATTAAATATTTCTATAAAAACTAATTTCTACCGAAGTTGTAGTCAAATCAGTAATTAATTATTTATATGAACAAAAATTTACTATAAAAATAAAAGGATTGGATGTACAAAATTAAGCAAATTTATTGTTTTCTTAATTAAATAATTATGTACTGTTTTATACAAAGTCTTTATTTATTATATTAAATACGTATGAGATAGTAATTTACTTATAGTAATGATGAATACTAACTAAAGTATGAAATAAGATATTCACGGCTTCAGATTCAGTTTCACGGCTTCCTGACGTATGACAGAAATGAGTTCTTGATTTATTAAAAATATAAACCTGAGACCTGCAATCTAAATAAAATATTTTAAAAAATTACCACTCGTCTTTTATAGCTTTCTAATTTTTACAATCGCAATAATTTTAAATGTACAAAGTTAACTGAATTATGCCGATCAGAAATTAAAATATAGGAAGATGACACAAATAGAATATGTATCTATGTTCTGAATGTTCTCATATTTTTGAAATATAAACTCTTATAAAAGGTATTCATAACAGATTAACCATTATAAAACTGAAAAACAAAATATTAGTACCTCAATTACGCTGTTATTATTAAGCTTCATTTTATTTCCGGCCAGAATAGGCCTACTATCCACAAAAATTGGTCGCTTTCCTTCTGAAGAAAGAAAGAAATCTCCATTATTTCTTAAACGAATTGTTCCTTGTCTTCGTGAAACTTTCCAGGCTGGACCTTCCAATGTCAGATCTACATCTACGTTATGGTCTTTTGTTGAACGACCTACAGTAATCTAACAACAAGAAAGAAAATAAACTACAAATTTGTAATTAATGAAAAAAATGAAATGAACATAATATGCAAGTTCATGCACGTGGCATGCAAAAGTTTATATCAATTTCTCATAGGTAACATTTGAACACCTCTGAAGTAATGAAAGTTATTTAAAATGCATGTGATGTTCATGTATATTTTAAATGGTCATTTTATTTTCAAAAATGGGGTATTTGTCTTTGGTGAAAAAGTTATATTAAAAAGAACTGTTTGCAAGAGATACACTAAGTTTACATTTGAAAATTATCCTATATACTGAATTAAAATTAATATAAATACTAAAATTATTCAAAATTTCTGTAACAAATAGTTATAGCAAAGTGCGAAGCTTCTTATACTTGAATATCAGCACAAAGTTTCTAGATAACTTAATGAATATAGGTAAAAATCTATATCTGTATGAATATCAATTTCTATTATGTGAACAATTAAATAGTATGTATATATATATATATGAAAGTATGAGGAAATACTAGCAATAACATTAATTTACTTTGAAATTACCTCTCGAGACCTCATTAAATATCTAACAAGTCTTCCTCTAAGTATTGCTAAAGTTTGGTTATCAAAATCTGGAGGATTTACTCCTGTTACACTGTCAACTAAAACCTGCCATCTGCTTAATTCATTTTCTAATACTCTTATTTCTCTTTTGTTTCTTCTATCAGCTGCAATGAGTTCTGCATCTACTAACTCATCTTTCTGTTCAAGTAATTCTGTATCATTAATCATTTCTTCCGCATCAGAAAAATTCAGAACATGTTCACCGCGAGGTAAACTTTGTGCTGTTTGATCAGGAAGAAGATGATACTGTTTCATTAATTGCCAGTGAGCTAGTAAAGCTTTAGCCGTTCTAGCTGAATAAAACGTATGTGCATTTGACTCAAGCAGTTCTTGAAAGATTTCTAATGTTGGTTGAGAAGTCTGAAAGAACATATATAGAAAAATATAATTAATGAGATAATTAAAGTTAATTTTGGAAAAATTGCCATTTCTAATTACTGCTTAGACAATGGTTTCAAGATCAATTGAGTTCATTTCAAATCTCCTAAATAATTTTTTATGAATAAATTTCTTTGAAAAATTAAGTACAATTGTTCATCTAAATGAAATATCATAACTTGATTAAAATAAACTTAGGTATCATCATTCAAGGTCAATATTCAAATTATGTGAAAACATTAATAGGAATTAATTATAGAAAATATAGAGTAAAATATAGGGGAAATATAGTCTGAAATAAGTAACTGTAAATTATAAGTAATTTTAATAAAACTTAACCATTTTTATTTCAAATAAAACGAAATTTTAAATATTGCATACACATTTGTTTAATTTCAGTTGTTGTAAAATTATATTTTAAAAATATGAATTTGCATAATCATTTACATTTAAATAGTTACTAATAACTGTAGTTTTCTCAAATTGAATGATGTATCATTACCGATTTTATAGTACCAAGAAGATCTTCTTCTGCTTTACTGTATAAAGTTCTAGCTTGAACGCTAGCAATTAATTCTGGATGTAAATTACGCATAGCCTGCACTGCCACCCTTGAAACTGCACTATCATATAATAGAGCGTACCATCTTTGCTGTATTTCTTGTAATGTAAACCGACATGAAAATTTTGTACCTCTATGAACCTAGTTGATTAAATTATTGTTTAAAATCTTTCAATATAATAAAACATTAAACAATACTAAAAACTGAATGATTGTTTTAAAAATTTAGAAGCAACTACCATTCTTAAATCGTTTGTTTGCTGTACACCGGTGATTAATGCTAAATCATCTGTAGGTTTCCATCTTCCCAGATCTTTTGTAGCATTTACTGAATGTGAATGATTTTTATTCTTTTTGTTTTTTCTGCCAGGAGCATTTGAACCCCCTGGTCGACTTGTTCGTCGATTGCATCTATCCGCGTGAGATACATTTGTAGAAATTGGAATGGGGCTTGGTACATTTTGTTGTGGAACACATTCCATTGGAGTAGTGGAAATTGAAACGGTCCTAGATCTGGAGGCTGATTTTGCACTTGTAGCAGGTGGTTGTAAATTGAATGTTGTTTCAACAAGCTCATCATCAAATTTTCTGCGTTTTATTGTGCGCGAAGAACTATAATTTTAATAGTAATAAAATATACATACTAGTACTTCTGGATATTACACAAGGTGTTCGGTAACTGGTGGTACAACCGAAAAGAAGGTGATTCTAAATCAAAAAATAAGTAGAAAATATAGAATAAAATTTTGTCATACAAGGCTTTGTTTCTGAGAAAATTAAAATTGAATATTAGCTGAGTACACGTGCACTTGACCATGTCATGTTATTGGATCTTGCTGTAGATCTTTGTCTCAATTGAAGTTTATGTTCATAAAGACTTCCAATGTCACGAAAATGTTTATCTTAGTTTTACTTACTATCCTATTATCCTTTCTTATAGTTTAAGCTTATAGTTTAAGCTTTTCAAGTCTTGGTCGACTACTCACAAGTTAAGAATCTAATCCACAGTGAATATCAACCTAACAGCTTGTAACACTTTATATAATACACCTTGTGTTATCAAAGATTATAATCACCAAAACTATGTATTATTTATTAATTGACTCCTTTAGTTTCAATTATTGTAATTACTAGTAACAGTATTAACCAATATAATTATTATTAATAGTAATCACTAACGTAAACAAATATTTAAGAATTACAATAAATAGCACTTGCACATAATTTAATATCTATGAATAATGTAAAATACTATTCAAAAGATATTAAAACACTAATTAGTTAATTCACATTTTTACATATTATTTAAAAATTATATTCTTCTTGTATACAATATACAAAATAAGATAATAATTATTTATTACGTATAATTTGTACCTTCTACGTTTTGTAGACAACGGATCCAAACTTGTTGATTCAATTGGTATATTTAAAAATCCATCATTACCGTGTGAAAACCCGTGATTTATATTCGAAGGAGTTGGAATATCCATAATTTATTTCTTCTGAAGTAAGCAGGTTAGCTTAATGTAAACAAAATATTATGGTTACACATATATAAATTTCATTATAATACAATTACAGATACTCTATATTCACAATAATTTAACACATAAACTAGAAATCAAACTTCATTGTACATAACATTAGATACTTGTTCAAATAAAAAACACTTCACAACTTATACATTATAAACACTTACAATGATTTACAGTTTCACTAAAAAAGCATCACAATAAATATTACGGTACACTTACGAATGGATTATTTTGTTACTGTGATAGGAAGTACCCTCTATCGACATGTGCTGGTATTACGTACCCAATGGCGGGCAATTGTGTTTAAAAAATTGAAAATAAATTATTTAAAACTTTATTTAATAAATATACGTGTCGTTCAATTAGAAAAAGTTAACTAAATACACATTCAGAAAACAAATCTTTTTCAACAAACTCTACAAATTGTTTAAAAAACAGTTTGCTATTAGCACAGACGAGGTATAAAAATGGATTACAGAGAAGGTAAGTATTGTATCTTAGGTATGGAGATGATATGGTCAGCAGACATCAGTTTTAGCCTTGTTGAAATAACCATATATTCGAATATAAGAAATAAAATTAACAGTGGCAATATGCTGACAAAAAATTGTTTGTCTATTGCTTAACAACTTAACAGTCAACAATTCTAACCATGAGATATATTACACGAGTGTGTGTGTATAAATAATTGAAATTTGAACAAAGAATTCTTTACATTTACTGATTTTCCTAACTTTAATCGTCGATTCGAATATAATTCTTATACTCGTCACCTTAAGTCGTAGAAGGCATATCAAAACGTCTGCTCTTTTTACACGATCGGTATTTCAGACCTACGGACATGAAGTCCCATAAGATGTCTAATCTATCTCATATTTTGTCTGTGGTAATATATAGATATTTAATTTAAACGAGTTACAAAATTTCTCTTTAACACTTTACTAAATGATAATTTGTCATTAAATTTAAATTTTACATTGTCATAATTATTTAATGTTACAAAAAGTATAATTGTCTTTAATTTCCTGAGAAAGATCTCAATATGAAATACATATATCATATATAATTTGTAAATCCAGTATTAAATAATATAACTTAAAGATAAAAGAACTTAATAATTTATTTGAATAAAATTGGTACACGACATATTTTCTTCTCAATTAATAGGTAAATGAAATAGTTTATCAGGAATGAATTCCTAAATATTCAAATACAACGTTTTTTATTTTATCAGTAGACAAAAAAATGGTTATCTGTGACTTATGTTTTATTACAAATAGAGTTTATAATAAAACAAACGTAATAAAGGGATATTTAAAACGTAACCATTTTAGAAAACTCGATCTTTAGTTTACAGACTATTCGTACGCGGCGCTAAACTTGTATCGTCTACTATTAGAGGAGATACTGTCTTTTTACAAATCTCTTGCTCCATCTGACTCCCTCTTTTTCTTTATCCCCTCTCTCAATTCCTACAGTTCTACTCTTCCTCTCGACTTCTCGAAGATTTCCGCGTATCGAGTTAAGCTTAACATTGGCGTGTACCATCTTAAATGTTCTCTGTTTGCACAACAATTACGGTGTTCGGAAAACTAGTCACTACGTAGACCACGTTCACGTTCCCTCGTGAACCACCTATATAGAAAGTTTCAACAAAAATTTTTACGGAGTTCTTTTTCTCTCTGTCTGCTCTCTGTATGTCTCAGTTCCTCTTTCTCTTTGGGTGCGTGAGTGCGAAAATATCAGACGGTGCAACGGAGTTCCACATCGATGTATCGATACTAAAGACTCCCGGGGGCGAGGTTTTGAGACAATAGTCCGTGAGTGAGGTTACATGGACTCGTTGAAATGTCGTGGCTCCTCAAACAACGGACTTACGATTAGCTCGGGTGAGTTTAATTTTTATCAAATTACACTGCGGTAGATTTTGTGCAACAGGAAAATGCGCGGTTTTCATTGGTTCAATGGAGTAGATTTACCCGATTGTGGCTGGCCCGATTATTTTAGACGATGACGTGCTGCTTATGTACACTCAACACCTTGTATCCTTACTCTATCCGTGCCGCATTCCTTTGGTTCAACTGTGCGATATTTGAGTTAAACAGGATATTGGCACTTACATTGACTGTTCTTTTCCATTCTTTCCATAACCGTTCGATATCACTTTATCAATAGAACAGTAAAAGAACTATGAATAGATATTTAAACGTTATGGGAAAAATATATTTAAAATAATTTTTCTTCTTAAATATTATTTAAAGTATTCGCACTAGACTGATACAATTAAACTTACTATTTACGACAAGGATCGTTTTAATTTTAACTTGAAATTTTTCATTATAACCATCCTTTTCAATTATGTTATCATTATTTTTTAATAAGGCTTTATTGAAAAATACGTGAATGAAAACATTCCGTACTACATTTATGAGGACTTTAATTACACAATAATATAAAGTGTGTTAAGTAATGCCTTTAATAAATACTGTCTGTCACTTTTGACATTGTTTACGTTTGACAATCCGCAGATTACTTTGAATTTTTTACTTCAGATTTTAAATTTCAAATGTATATGAAATTCTGAATTAATATGTTAAAATAAAAGGAAAATACAGAGTATCTTATTGTTGTTTTATTTTTATTATAACGCGTATTTTATTGATTTTTAATTTGTGCATATTTATTTTTTATATTGTTTCATCGTGTTTATATTATTCCCGCAATGGTTAACGTGTATATCGAATTATTATCAACATTCCTAAAAGTAAATTTATACGACAACGGTAATTTTTCTTTCATTTATATCGATTTATTCGACATTTTACAGTATATTTGAAATTAACTTCGGGAAAGTGGAAACTATTTTTACTTTTTAAAGTATAAACACATTCTTATATTATCATGCGGTTACAGCGTTCAATGCTACATTTAAACAGACATTAATTAAATTGAAATTATTAAATTTGTGAAAACGTACATTATAGTATGATAGTTCTACTGTTAAAAGAGTTATTTATTAATTTATCTTGTACTATTAAAATTAATGTCACGTCGGGTTATTATTTCCAAATTTCACTGAAAAATTTGTTCACCTTTAAATTAGTAAACATATTTCAGTTAAAACGCACTTTATAAATCGTTTTTAAAAATCTAATTTTGTTGTAATTACAATACGACTGTTATATTTTATAACGGAAATATTCAATCGGTTTTGTTCAACATAAAACGACATTTTACGGTTACTTTAGATGGCTGGCTACTACCTACGTTCAATTTGTTCTTATCAATGAAATCATTCATTGTCATCCGCATCATCTCGTTAAATGAACAGGCTTGATTAGTTTGTCAACTTATTTTCTTAGAAACACATAATTTTTTATTTATTTTATTCTTTTATCATATTTAAATATATATATCTTATTTATAATTAATGAAATTTAGATTTTCTTAAATTAACTAATTTTCCTAAGTATTTTTATGTCCTTTATTTGTCTAGTAATTCTAATATTTACCGATTAGTTTTAATTAGTAATTCATATTTTTATACAAGTTTAGATTTTCATAGATTAATTTACAGAAATTTATGTCCCTTGTTTATGATGTTACTGAAATAAAAATGACATTTGTAAGACAGGAAACTTCTTGTATCCAAATTAATAAAAGGAATAAACATAATTGTTCTAATAAAAGAATTTTTTAATAAATTTCATTTATAATAAATATAAATAGAAATTTATTCTTTGTTAACTATTTATAGATTTAATATTTTTATAATAGTAAATTACAAACTTTTTCAAGATAAATCAATTTGGAAAATTATATTCTTATCGTGCTTCAAGGATTGCAGTTTTTTTTTAGATGTCGAATTTAGTTGCATACGAAATCGCTTCGTCACGTGTAAATATTGTATATTTGTAACGGAAGAAAACATGTATTATTTATTCCGCTCGAATAATAGAATTCCATTGTGTCACAATTATTTAAAATTTTATTGTATTTTATAATAAATATATAAAAATCCGCACTTTTAGAGTAATTACAAAAATTATTCAATTCAAAATACGCCGTTTTAGAAAACTCGTTCGATGTTTTGTAACCCGGTTGATTGAAAAAGTTAAGGGGTCGAAAAGAAATATGTGAAATAGGCAGTTGAATTATTTTCTATGTTGGGAGCAGGTAGAGTTCGATTCCTGGAAGCAGAAAGGTTTCTTCAATACAAACCTAATAGCTTTGAGTTGGAGTCGTGTTAGGTATGTTCGAATATTTTGGGTGGTCTCGTGCATCTCTACAGTACCTTAGGAATGATACGTGTCCTTTTGTGCTATTTTAAACCTACACAAAACGTTCCATTTTTTTATCGTTTAATTCTTCTTTTATTTGTCAAACGTGATTTGAAATTTGTTTCAGTTAAATGCAAACAGTGCTAAGAAATATGTGTTAGAGAAAAATGTTTTACTAATGGTTACAAATATTTTATGTTGCACATAACATTTGTATATTGAAATATACGTCCATATCATACGTTGTTTTAGTATACAGGCAAAATTGAAAATGGAATTAGATAATTTCCAAAATAAAATGTAAATATTAAATTTCTACAAACTACGTAATTTGATATAAACATGTTAATGTATAGAGAGTATATGGCATTCGCTAAGTTAGATCAAATTATACTGAAAATTATAAATGAAATTATGAAAATTATAGATCAAAATAATTTGTCTCAAAAACAAATTTTATATGTTATTTAATCATAATACATTTGTCATGTTACTTCGATTCGTAATTAGGATTCGTAACGATTTTGTATATAGTATACGAAAGATTTATATGTTACATTATAGTAGATCTTTTTTCCTGGTTTTTTCTGATTCGTTTTTCATTTCGAATTCCGTCCAAATACAGAACATTGATATAATAATTATTTGAGTTGTATATGCAAGGTAAAGATTTTATTGTCAGACCGAATACTAATTTCAGTTTCGAAGGTAAGAAACAGTTACAAATTAAATTTTGGAGGTGTATATGAAAATATAGTAATTTTGCGTTTGTAACAAAATTCTTCGGTATATTATAATTTAAAAAATATTATTTTGTATTTCTTTGCAAACTTTATTAGTATCGGAATTAATTGTTTCAATTTTTTTGTATCGATTTGAGATTATCTGGGATTCCAATATTTTTACTACTGGTTTCGTGCGGAGTCATTTTTAAATGGTACAACTGCGTATAAACTTGTAATTTCGTATAATTTTCGATTTAATATTGCATTAAAGGAAGGATATTATCAACGAAGACGACTAGATATGAATGATTACTTTTTACTATCATCGTTTATTCATTGTATCATAGAAAAGAATATATTTATTGACACATTCAAAGTAAATTGTGCATACAAAACACGCTTTTGATCATTTGTTCATGAACCTTGATTATTCGCTCGTATAAATATTTTTTTTATTATTAAATACTTTCCGCACATTATTAGATTCTATATAATCAAAATTTTAATTATTATGAAATGATAATGATTATTTATTTATTTTTAAGAATATAATTTTCAGTCTCATTGTTTAGTTGTCTAAAAATTATACCAAATCATTTAACTTTTGACCCCTAATAGTACATTATGTTATAACTACTAAAATCCTCTTATAAATATCTCTGAAGTTTATTAACTACAAATTTATGTCAATAAGTGTTTTTACTGGATTAACAAATTCATATTATTATTCGATTATTTATAAAAAGAGATTTCTACAAATATAGAAATTATTGCATCTTCTTATCCAACATACCTGTTACAACTTAACAGGACTGTTTATACAAAATGTAGCATTAAAATTTACAGAAATTATGTCTTAATCTATGTATTTGGATTATTATGAATACATCTATTAAAAAACTGTTGTTCTATGTTTATAAACAAATTTCTATGAGTAATTTGTAAATTATTAAGTAAAGGATGTATTTGTTTGTTACTAGGGAGGCAACATCCGTGAGCAACGACATCACAATGCGCATGTTGCTGCCACTGAGGTTGGTTTTCGTCGCAGCAAGCTTGCTGCTGGCAACTACCAAAGCAAATGTCCACATACATTTGCATTCTGACACTGCCAAACATTTTTCCATCGGAGAACATGAACAAGCTGTTGCTGGAATAGAGGCTAGCCTATTGTCACTTCTTGGTTTTGCAAAAAGGCCAAAGCCACAAGGTCCAGCTTATGTTCCAGAGTCTTTAAAAAAACTGTTTGTTAAACAAAATACCATTGGTATGGCTGATATTGCTAGACCAGGAATTCATGCTAGGTCTGCTAACACAGTTCGCTCCTTTTCTCATGTTGGTAAGTGTAGCTTGTTTTAATGAAATTTATTTTGTAAATATTCATGGATAAAATTGCAGTTTAGTGCTTTTTCCCAATGTTAGCTATTTCACTATAATTTTTGTTTGGAAGGCTTTATTTTATCACTAAAATGAAAAATCAATCAAGAAAGATTAAAAGAATGTTGTACTTTTTGTTATTTTGGGAAAAAGCACTAAAGTGCAATTTTACTGTATTCTTATAAGACAGAATTACATAAAAAATTTTTTGTTTAATACAGAGAGTGATCTGGACCATAAATTTCAATCTCCAAATCGCTTTCGTCTCTCCTTTGATTTAAGTAGTATACCTTTAGGAGAGAAATTGCAAGCTGCTGAATTAAGTGTTTCTCGCAAACCAATATTAAATGAGAAAGACTCCACACAGAAGCTGACGAGAATACTTGTTTATGATATTTTGCGCCCTGGTACAAAAGGACATAGTGCTCCATTGTTACGTTTAATCGACAATAAACCAGTTAATATTAAAAAGAGTGGCACGATTAGTTTAGACGTTCACCCTGCTGTAGAGAGGTGGATAGAAGATCCTAAGAATAATCATGGACTTCTGGTGCATGTGCGTGGAAGTAAACAGGAACATGTACGTTTAAAAAGGAGTATAAATGAGAGAAATGATACATGGGTCATTAGTCGACCAATGTTATTCACTTACACAGATGACGGCAGGTATGAAATATCATCGCTTCTTTGCTTTTTGTAATTATGTAATCGAATTTTGTCTTTTCATGCATAATAGAATTTAGAATACTATGTTATCAGTTACGATTTATACCAAATTATATACAAATGTAATACTAAATTACGTTCAATGCACATATAATAGAATATTTGAATGATAGCACATATAGATAACAAGAGTTCGAATGAGAGAGGTTCCATTGTATTTTAAAAATATCGATCTTTCTATTTCAAAAATGATTTCGTAAATTTATATTTAATATGTATATTTAATTATCTATCTAAATGTATATTTATTATCACTTAATTTAATATAAACATTAATTTTGTAATAGGTACAAAATGTCCTCTGCAAGTCAAATAATGGACCGCCGTGCTAGAAGAGCCGCACTTCGAAAAAATCGACGGAAAGACGGTCGTGAAAACTGCAGACGACACCCGCTCTACGTTGACTTTGCAGATGTCGGTTGGAATGATTGGATTGTTGCTCCTCCTGGTTATGATGCTTTTTACTGTCATGGTGATTGTCCCTTTCCTCTGGCAGATCACTTAAATTCTACGAATCATGCAATTGTTCAGAATTTGGTTTATTCAACAAAACCAAGCTTGGTGCCAAAAGCTTGCTGTGTGCCCACTGCGCTCAGCTCAATATCCATGCTCTATCTTGACGAAGAGAATAAAGTAGTTCTGAAAAATTATCAGGACATGGCTGTTCTTGGATGTGGATGCCGTTGACCATTCACCGACTGCTTTAGTTAAATATTTTCATAATGAAGTATTTATGTGCGGCAAAGATAAGAATGGTTTAAAAGACATTAGTAAAGTGAAATAAGAGAGAATAAAGGTTTTGCTAAATTGCGTGGATAGTAAGTAACGCTATTTTTGGAGGGTATGTTGATATGTTTATTGAGTATTTGTACAGTTAATGCACATTCAAGAGATTTTAAATTTATTATGTGCGACAGATCAATCAACTACTAATTATTCAAGATTATTAGAATCTTGAATGCCTAACTTGTCTATCTATGAAATAAACAGAAATGAAAAGTGTTTATATCACATATGGTTTTAATAAATCAATTAATTACAGAAAATTCAGATATGTATGAATAATATAAAGTTTGGATAGAAATATATTAGGTAATTATTGTTAAAAGTAACGATTATTGTTGCACACATAATCGATCGATCTAATTGATCATATAAAAATGGAAGAAAGATTCAATGTTGTACAGATTTTGATCCTTGTTATATTGTGCCTTAATTCTATGTTTTCCTTTCGCAAAGGAAAATATTCTCTAACAAGGGTTTAAATCAAGGTAAATACGCGCGCCAAAATTTTAAATAATCCCCTTTTATACAAAACGTTTTGAATATCGATTATGGTATCTTTTTACATTATTTCTTGACAAATTGATCGATCTTTTTTTAATAGAAAAAAATTATTCTAATTAATGTGAAATTGACTTGTATTGACGGCAAAAAGAGACTCTATTTTTTAAAGAGTAAGAGTTTGAAAGGTTCTAAAATAATATTCATTTTGATCTTAATAATTTTATGTGAACTCTTTTATAGAATAATTACCTTTTCCGGTATTTCGAAATTTATATGGTATTAGTTTACTCTTTATATAAAAGTTAATTAAGCGATTTTTAAAATACTCACAGTATTCTAAATTTGATTTTGAACATATGTCGAACACGTATTTCAAACTCTCTGTATGCTACAAAATGTATTGGAATATTTATAAACAATTTTGTTTTCCACTTGTAAAGTAACTTTACAGGCGGAAAAAAATTATTTTAAGATGTTTTTTTATTATTATTATTATCTTGATATTCATTTCAACTAATTCACATTAAGGTAAAAAATTTATAATAAGTTATATCACTTTTTTATAAATTACAAATAATATTCTTTAATTTTGGAGTTTTATTGCAATAAAAAATTTAGATAATAAGTATACAGTTTCTGTCCTGCTAGTTTACTTTGCAAATATGAAACAGATTTAAAATGCAAAAAAAAGCATATTTTCAATTTAACCTATTCTAAAAAATTACTACGTACTTAAGAATTAGTAATTTTTATATATTTTTTTAATTATTTCATATTCAGACAAAGAATAATAATAAATTTAAAATTGATTTGAAGACCAAGAAAAAAGTAAAAGTCTTAGTTCATACATAAAGAACCAAACAAGTCAAACGTATCCGAAGTTATATTTCACAATAGACAAGTTAAACATTGTACTAACTTATCTTGATTTTCTGACTTGTGACCATTTCATTTATTAGTATATTTTAGTATAAGGATAACATTGAAATAGGTGGTCAAATTTCAATGTCGTTTTCTACTATGTCTGAGGATGAAAAAAAGGTCATTTTAATATATGTCCAAAAACTCTTTCTTTCTGAGATGTAAACAATTTTCGGTTATGATGGAATATCGTAGAAATATTTATAATTTACTTCAAAAAGCTGCTGGAAATGTTTTTTTTTGTAACAGTACACGCTTTGCATTAACGTTTTAAAAACTATTAAAAACGTCCTTAAAAATAATAGTACAGTTCGGAACAGCATAAATTGAAGTTTGCCCGCCTATTTTAATGTTACCATGTATATCACAGAAGTCTAAAATTTATACTCATTATTTGAAAATATATACATTAAAAACAGCGATGTGTTGTATGCGAAATACAAAAACTGTAGTATAACTACACTAATTAAGATATCAGTTTATTTGAATTTTACTCAGAAAAGAAGTATAAAACATTCACAACGTTCCGTCATTCGTATGTATTGTCAAAATTATCTATAGTACTCATATACTTATTTATTTTAATAATTTCTTTCTACAATTTTTAATTTTGTATTTTAAGCGTTCAATCCTTTAACGACGAAAACTCAGTTTGTTAATATACAAAAAGTATAAATACATATTAAAAATACACCTAGTGATATAAATTAATGTCTGCCGTCGAGAATGAACCGTACCTGCGTAACGAACAATTATTTATTCTATTAGCAAAGAAGTCTAAGTATATGTATATTTGTACAAAAAGAAGGAAGAACAAAAGGTGAATAATCGTTCGTATTTATGGCGCGCGTCGGCCTGTAAAATCTGTAAAATAGATAGAAATAAAAAAGGACCAATGTAAATAGTGCGTCTGTATAGTGCATTAGTATATATAGTATTTTATTCGATGTTTTTATTACTATTTCTACGTTCTTCGATTGTACACAGGTATTGCGTGTGTAAATAGTAAACAAATTTTAATAAATAGTTATATTAAATTACATTTATGCTTTTGTACTTAAAAAAATAATAAATGATAATCACAAAGAAATAGACAGAAATCAATTAGAAGTTGAACGGTATTCGATAAGGTAGTAACTTATTGCTGTAAAATACTTGAAATATAAATATTTTTTCAAGAAACATTGAGTGAATAAAATAACAACTGGTATATAAAATATGTAACAAAAATTTTATTTTTTTATACAATTATGCTACATACATAGGACAATGCATTTCTCATTGTAAATGTAAAAAAAATATAGAACAATATTTCAGTCTTTAATGCTAAAAGAGAAGAATAATTTAATAGAAGATTCATTCTTCAAGGCTCATATAATGGCAGTGCGAGGTAAAAACCATTTTCACAAACATGATATGTTGTGCATTTTGTACAAAAGATTTTGAATTTTGTATTTCATTTTCCTAGGATTTTGTATGTTTTATGGCACAGCTCGATTATATTGCGAAAACAGTGTCTTTTTCTCTTACTTAATATTAAAAAAGTATGACATTTTAATTTCCAACATTCTCATTGACATTTACATAAAAAATGCAAAATAAGTGCGAGCATTTTCTATTTTCATTGCAAACCATTCATTTCAAAAAATGTAATACTTTCTACGAATATATATTTTAAATATTCTTAGGTTATTTACTTTTATCGTTATGTTTCCGTTACTATTATTTTGATTTTGTTTTTATTAGAAATAATTTTTAATTCTACTATCTATTTGAAAAGATTTTTTTTTCTAATGATTATTATAATTATTATTTTAATTTGTAATACAGATTTTGATATGTTTTTGTTGTAGGTACGAAACTTAAAATTTAAATTTTCATTTAATATACTGTGTGTGCATGAGTAAGAGTATAAATGTTTAAAAGTCTAAAAATAGTACTTATACAAAACGAAATCATCTGCTTAAACAACTTGTATCGTAGTGACTAAGAATCATTTACAATCTTTATACATTCTTACAATATTTACAGAATTTTACGATTAAATCACTTACATTATAAAGTTAGTAGGCACAATGGTATTAATTTCTTTGCAGGAATAATTATAAAAAAAACTCGTTTACTTTCAAACGATATTAAAATCAGACTTGATTGTATTAAAAAAGGCACTCAAAAGAAAAATGTTTACTTTTTGTTTCTCCTGCTTCTCTTTGAGCTACTATCTGTTAAAAGTCTTCAGTATGGAAGTATTAGTTAAAATGTACATTACATTAATTATGAAATTATAAAATGTGTTTCATGTTACTTTCCTTGTAAATACGAATAAATACAAAATTTTCAATATTCAGTTTTTCCAATGTCAAACATTAAGAAGAAACATTATGTTAATTCTCTCTACCAAATAAATTATGAACATTCTAATAAATTCTCAAGTTTGTTTAAAATCTTTCAAAATCTTGTAAAAAATATGATTTTATGAAGAATGAGATATTTAAAATGTATAGTATATTCAAGGAACAGGAGAAGGTGGCGGTGGAAGTGGACTAAAATATGTAGATGATCTTGAACTAGGAGATGGAGGACAACTAATTCCTGCATCACTTTGATAAACAGACCTTGGAGTAGGAGGTGGAGGAAAAGGTTCACTTTCATATCTATATCTTGCTGGATAATTACTGTCTGATTCATCACAAACATCTGTACTGCAAGGGGTTGGAGGTGGAGGCTGATTAATGCTTCTATAATGTCTGTAAGGTTTATATCTAGATGCATTACTGCTTGAGCATCTGGTGGAATTTGCTGTTGTTGCTGGACTTGGCGGAGGATTTAATGTTTCTTGAGGATAACCTCCTGCTGAACTTCCTCGTGTTGAACTTGATGCACCTTAAGTAATAGAATACCATTTTTTATTGTTTACTAAACTTTCGTCTATATATTATGTGTTTCTAATTAAAATGGTTCAATTTATTATTATATAAACAATGAACATTAAATTACGTATATTTATAAATTTATTTCTCTGAGTTATGCCATCTAATTATTTCTGATTAAATTTAAATTATATTATGCCAATCAAAAGATTACATATGGTGCTTAAATATATTTGCTATTTATTTTTAATTTATCAATTATAGGAATAAATTCATAAAAGAAAAACTTACCAGTAATATGACTTCGATCATAACTAGATCCAATACTACTCCCATTTAGCATTGACATTCCCACAGTCTCCATTCCAATTTTCAGATCTTTTCTACAATTTTTTTGTGCAAACATTGGTTTTGCCAACCTCGCAGGTTTTGGCGACAAAGGATCTCCAGCAGAGTCGTGTAAAATATCAGGTAATTCTTCACTGTTTATAAACTTTCTTCTACAATAATAAAATCCAAAAGCAACAGCTACTATTGTCGCAGTCACTATAATAAGTACAATGACGTAGGTAATTTTTCCAGATTCTAATGAATTGCTTTCTTGTCGAGGTGGGTTTACAGGTGTACATAAAGATGGAAATTCATCGCTACCATCAGCACAATCATCCCAACCATCGCAAAGGGTTGAAGTAGAAATACAAACACCGTTTCCAATACACTGAAATTGATCCGGACAACAATGAGCTTCATCCAGACCATCATGACACTGAGCAGTTCCATCGCAAACCCATGACATATCTAACATATGTAAAAATATTTCAGAAATAATAATTATTTCATTTTCAATGCACGATTAATGATTTTTATATTAGTGTAATATATTTATTCTTACCAATACAGTGACCGCTTTGACATTTAAATTGTTCACGACTACAAGTTGGACATCCTAGTTCATCGCTACCATCAGGACAATCTGTTTGACCATCGCATTTCCATGTTGCAGGTATACAATCCTTTGCCATTGCAGAACTAGGTGCAGCACAAGTAAAATGATCTGATCCACAAGCTGGTGCAGCCCTACAAGTTTTTCCATCTTCGGAAAGAACCAAAGATTTTGGACAAGAACACCTGAAAGTATTAATGTCTAAATTTATTTAGAATATGTAACATTATAAAGACATATTAATAACTGAAATTTTATTCTTACACGGATGAAGTTGTTCCAATGCAGAAATGGGAACATCCACCATAATCTCGAAAGGGGCTACAAATATGCGTCTTCATTATGTCATTTTGCGGAGCATTTACTGTAATTAAATCTGTCAGCGCTTTGTTCATAATCATTTTTCTTCCACTTCCGGATTTGTTAACACGTTCTAAACTTAATGTGTCTTTATCAAACCAATAAACAAAATCAGAAAAGACAGCCAAATAAATAATTGATCCTTGTTTAACATGAGACACTAGAATTTTTCTATTATTTCCATCGAAATCTGCGCATTCAATTCGATTTCCGTGCGCCCAATATATAATATTGGAAACTGCATCAACCGCAATACTGGTTGGTTGTTCAAGATCAGTTGCGATCACCACTCTCTCTTTTCCATCCATTTTACTACGAATTACTCTCATTTTTCTTCCAACATCCGTCCAAAAAAGTAATCTTTTTTCAGAATGTATAGCAATATTTCGTGGTTTTTCTCCATCACCTTTAACGACAATGCCTAAAGCAGAGCCATTATCGAGTTTTGTAACATTTATTGCATCATTTATAGCACAAGACCAGAATAATAGCCTTCCTAAAGGATCTAAAGCTAGATCGACAGGGTGTCCGGAACTTCCAGAAACCACTATTGTAGAATGCGTTTTATTTTCCAAAGTTTTTCTTATAGATGAAGTTCGACCATCTATCCAATAAATGTGTTGGGTTATCGGGTCAAATTCTATAGACCGCACATTTTTTAGACCCTGAATTCGTAGGACTATATCTGGACAGTCATTAGTGTCAGGAAGAAAACGATAAATTGCATTTCGTGAACTGTACATCATAAAAATGCTTGGTGCTGTAAATAAAATATAGTTACGTTTAATTATACGAGTGATACTACTACAATATAAATTATGTTTGTAAACTGATTGCTTTAATTATAACTAATACAACGATTACAATCAATAACTTGTCTTTTGTCTGCAAAGATTAACTGTTTAGAATGAATTAGAGATTTCAAAAAGTAAACAGTTCATTAAAAATATTTTTTTTTTTAAGTATGTTTTATTATATTAATATTGCTATTAATTCAATACTTAAAAAATTACATTAATTTAAATATACAAACCAATGCAAGATTTATTATTTTCTCCTAAGATATAATGTGTAGGGCATTCACACTTGAAAGAATTAGATATACTTTCATTTTCTCCAGGCAAAGCGATACAAAGGTGGCTGCAATTTCCATTTTTCAATGCACATGGATTCCGTCCTGCTTGTTTAGAAGCATGAAAAACTAACAAATCTGTCACTGATTCTAACTTGTTGTGTATTTTCACTCTGTTTGCTCCAGTGGTTTTATTGGCTTTCTCTATGTCACCTATTAATAGCAAATTACTTCAAATATTTCTGTTACAAACTTAAGAGATATTAAAATTTATAGAATTAACAATGTAATCACTTATTAATTGATGCATTTATGTATTTCTTACCTGTATTCCAATCTGTCCAGTAAATATAATCTTGATATTGTGTAATACTAAATGGATATCCAATATTCTGTGTTATGATTGCTTCCTTTTTCCTTGTACGCAAATCAAAACTATCAATAGCTGGAGTATGTAAATCTGCCCAATATAATTTCTGTGCTAAATGATCAATGGTTAAACCATTTGCTCTTCCAATATTGAAAAGTATAATTTCTCGATTTGTACCATCTAACAGGGATCTTTCTATACTACCGGAATTCCCCCACTCTGTCCAGTACATGTAACTAGAAAAGTTACAATTATTTAATTACTACCTAATTTTTTTCTTATAAAAAAATATTGATATTATGAACGGTTATTGCTATAGATTAAAAAATTCAAATATGTTACTTTTTTTGTTAATACCTTTGTTAATACCCAAAATTGAATAAAAAATTAATAATTAACTATAGTTACCCTCTGCTTGGATCAAGAGCTACACATCTAGGTTCAGTAATATCATTCCAAACAAGAACTTTTCTACTGCAGCCTTCTAATCGTACCATTTCTATTCTCCGAGTTCCTGTGTCACTCCAATATAAATTATGAGCAATCCAATCTATCGCTAAACCTTCAGGTGTTTCTAAACCAAGGTCAACAACTCTTTCCATATCAGAACCATTTATAAAAGCTCTTGTGATTGTTTTTAATTTAACATCTGTCCAGTAAATGCGATTGTCTGCTATGTTAAAATCCAAAGCGCTGATATAAAGGAACATTCAATTAATAAATTTGTATTACAACAATATTTATATTAATTCATGAATATTGTATTAATAATTATAACATTTACCTAGCATCTTTAACACCGGTCAATGGAATAATGTTATCATTATTTGCATTTTCAATACTAATTCTTCCAATATTCTCCTTCTTTGCAAATAACATAAATGCATCAGGGATAACGCAAGTCCTCTTATCTTTTGTTAACTCATAACCAATCTGACACGCACAAACATATTTGTTTTCAGGTCTATTTAAACATAAATGACTACATCCTCCATTATTTTTTGCACAAGGATTTGTACCATTAAATTTTCCTAAATGCACTGCTTTTAAACCCATTACATTTGGGACTTGATCAACAATAACTACTCTTTCTCCACCTGTAAGTTTGTTTGCCCTATCTACGCTTCGTCTTTGCCAATCGGTCCAATATAAATAGTCTCCCAATAAACTCAATCCAAAAAGATGTGGCAGATTGTCAGTAATTACTTCTCTCCTGTCTGTGCCATCCATATTACAAACTTCAATCTTATCTGTTTTCGCATCGCACCAATAAATTTTCCACCTAGCAAGATCTAAAGCAATTCCATTTGGCCAAACAATGTCTTTAGTTACTAGAAGAATACGTTCTGTACCATCAAGATTACTTCTTTCTATTTTTGGACGTTTTTCATACCAGTCAGTCCAGAACATCCAACCAAGTTCTGGAGCTAAAGCTATTGCTCTAGGTTCTATTAAGTCTTCATTTATTAATACTTTTCTACTTGTACCATTTAATCGGGCTACTTCAATTCTATCTGTTCCTGTATCAGTCCAGTAAAGATTTTGAGCTAACCAGTCAATAGCTATGCCGTCAGGATTTTTTACTTCTGTTACTATAATATTTTCTTGATTAGAACCATCAAGGGAGGCTCTCCGAATTGCACAAGCTTCTTCATCAGTCCAATAAAGCATTTCTTGCACAGGGTCAAAGTCAATTGCGATCGCATGTTTGATTCCTAATGTTATTTAAAAAAGATATTAAATTTAATTATATGTTCAATAAAAATAATTTTTATATTTACATACAATTTTTATAAAATATTTATGGCATTCACTAAAATAATCTTGTTTTTAATATGTTTATCCCTTTTTAAATCGAAGGTTTTGAAATTAAAATTAAAATTAAAATTAAAAGAGGAGATTCATAAATAATAAATAGAATTAAAAACAGAAGATACTCTATGATCCGTAGAAAATGTTAAGAAATAAATTGTGTATGGAAAATGATCATACCTGTCAATGGTAAAACAAAATTTGTATAATCAGGAGAATCCAAAGATATTCGACAAATTTCATTTCTTTGAACTATTAATAATAACTCTTCTGGTCTTTCAGCACAAGTCAAATTATCCACTAACTTCACACCCGTAGGACACGCACACGTGTAACCAGGTTCTGATAAGCTTAGGAGACACAAATGTGAACAATTTCCATTATCTTTTTCACACGGATGATTTCCACGTGGTTGTCTTCTAACATCCCATACTTTTATGTCGCCAGGAATATATTCTCCATGTAATAATTCTCTAGGATGTGCTTGATTTTGCTGTACGTCGAATGAATGTATACACCATGTTTTCCAATCAGTCCAATATAATCTATGATCAAAAAATGTTACAGCAAAAGGATAATCTAACCCTTGTTCCACTACTTTCCGCCTATTTTTTCCATAATAATCCATGACTGCAATAAATTTGAGTCTTCCATCCACCCAGTAAACTAATTCATTTTCATAATCCACTGTCAAACCATTTGGCCAAAATATATCTTCAGAAATGATTACTTCTCTCGTTGATGGATCTCCATTCATTGCAGCTCTCTCTATTTTAGGCACATCACCCCAGTCTGTCCAAAAAAGTATACTTTTCATTGGTACAAGAGCGATAGCTCTTGGTTGATAAATATCTGTCCAGAAAAGAACTTTTCTATGACGTCCATCAATACTAGTTACTTCTATTCTATTCTTTTCTCCATCTGTCCAATACAATTTTCCTGTATACCAATCACAGGCTAAGCCGTCGGGAGATATTAAACTTGAATTCACTACAACCATTCTTTCACCAGTATGAGTACCATTTGTTTGGACACATTGAATTATTTCTAGACCACTATCCGACCAACATACCAATTCTTGTTCAAAATAGAAGTCTAAAGCTGCACCTTCAGAGACATCTTTAATTATAGTAGTTATTTTATTAGTACGAGAAGCATTAGCCATTCTAATATCCTTTTGTGTAGCAAACAGAAGTGTCGGTGATCCTAGAACAATAAGATATAGTTAATGATTAATACAAAGAAGTATACAAAGTTAGCTCAATTTTTAAATAAGTCATTATAACACAGTAGATAAATTTAAACATTATCTCTAACAATCATAGTATTTATGAAAGTATATCATAACCTTCATTTAGAAGTTACATTTAAAATAAAATAATAGATATGACCTACCATTCGAAAAAAGTACGAGTTTGAAGAAGGACGCAGTTAAGATAATTATTAAACTAATGACAGCCATTCTAACGCTTTTAATAGGATTTTTAAATTGTGAACATTACGAGGAGCTCATAAGGCGTCGTTCGTCAATTCTCATTCATGACGAACGATCGATCCGCTCCCCGTGCGCTTTATCGGACGTTCATTTATTGAATAAGTTTTACGTTCTTCTCAACGTAATATTAAGTAAAAGATATTCTCCATCCTTTGAATAAACTATTGTCTAATCAGACGCTTCGTTAGAAGCCAGCGGTTCTCATAAACCAATCATTACTACCCATGCACTTCCAATTGATAATGAAGCTTAACTGAATGTGACGTCACAAAAACAAACTGCAGGTTAGATCTTCGCCATGGAGAATGTTTAGAGGTGAAACTCCAATTTTTTCTGAAATTACAGTAACTTACTAGTTAGCAGGACTGTTGAACTGGGAGCTCACGAGCTCTCTAGGGTCTTTTCCCTCACGGAAAGTTATCCTTACTTAAAGCTATAGTTTCATTTGGAAACGATAGATTATCATTTCTTCTTTCCCTGATTATAAAAATATTACAATTATATTAATCCTGTGTTATAATACGTTTGTGGAGTGATAAGACACATAATCTATTGTGCCCATATGGTACAATATCTCCCGAGGTGAGGAAATCAATTTTTTTAATCCGAATAAAAGAATTGTTTATAACTTTGAAAATATTAAATTTTCGACTTTAAATGTTCATTAGAATGTTTTTTTCTTTTGACGAATGCTATCTATCTTTAGAATATTTAACGCTTTTTTAAATATCTTATGTAATGTATAACTATAATACAGTACACATCGAACATCAAATGTAATAACAATATTTTATATATGTACAAATATTATTAATCAAAATTCTTTAATTAACATTATTCGATTAAATAATTGTTCAATTATCATAAAAGTCTTACCAATTGTTATGAAAAAATCATATTAAATTAAATTTCGCGCTCGTATTCAAGAAATATTAAGGCAAATACTCAACAGTGCAGCATATAATTTAGAATCGCAACAATAAATTCAGTTAAATTTCTTTTCTCAATTTGCTTTAATCCATGCTAGCTTACTCGATTTTATTCTCGGCTTCCTTGGTGTAATGTCAGTTATACACTGATGTTCAACGTTTGTTGAAACGATTATTTTTATTATTGTATCCAATTGTCAATGTTTTAATATATATATATGAAATAAACAAAGAAAATTTTAATTGGGCGTGCATTATTTAGATGCGTTTTATTTACGAAGTGGAATAGTCTTCGATTTCTTTATACGATCAGGTACGTTCGTCTTTTTCCTTATAAGATACTATTTATTTGTATATTGTACAGTTATTTAGGTTATCTATTCGTTACATTGTTATGTGTTATTTTATATTATGATAATATCATGTATACTTAGGTATGGATGTATCTATTTATGTTTATTCAAAATTTTAATTGATTAAATAATATAGTTTCTGACATGTAATTGTTTAAAAACTAAATTTTTAAAGTAAATTTATAAAATAGATTCTAAGAGGATTCTAGAAATAATTGAATTCTTATATACATTTATATTTAATTCTTTTCGTATACTGCACAGTTCATTTTTTTTTTAATAAATTTAATTTATCCA